TTTGCATAGATCATTCTTCAGACTCCATCTTTACGCACAACACCCAGTTGAACTAGTCAACTATACTTTCAGGAAGCACTAGATTTGAGTTTCATTCTCCTCAAAGGTCATCAGTGGTGGATCTTCAATGTTGCATTCGTGATTTTGATTCCAGAGCCTTCGCAAGCAAGGAATGTGAAATATCACTGCACCAATCACCTCACACCAGGCTGAAGAAAGCCACCAATACAAGGTTGTCTAAGTGTAGTCGTCAGTCATTGGAGAAATGAGAATAAGTGTTCGAAGTTTCCGTGTTTAGTAAAATACCCTTGAACTAGTATCCTTTTCTGATCTCGAATTTAATTTATACAATAAACTGCTTCAAGATCACAACCTCGAACCGCTTATCTCTTTCTTCCGGACCAATTCCAGGTTGATCAGTTGTTGTTGGAATCAAATGAGCGACTCAAGGCACATCTTCAAGAACGTATGCTTTCTTTGGACCAGAAACAAGAACTTACCGGGGAAGTTGAGCGCATTCGTCGCCAGTTGGAAACGGTAATCGCTGAGAAGGAATGCGGTTTGTTGGCAGCGAACCGTTTACGGAAACAATTGTCCGAGTTGGCCGCGGCATTCAGACATACTCAGGCTCAACTGGTAACCGCACAATCCACGGCCGCGGCAGCGAATGCTGCTATTCTGGCATTGACCCGGGCAAGTGGTGAGCATCCAAACGTTGTGATGACCGCCAGGCCGGATACGATTCAGGAACCAGTAACCAGTCTAACACCGATCAGTCAGAAAGGTAAAGTATTCTGTACAGGTTTTTAATTTTGACGATTTAATTGAGTCTGTCAACTACTGACCTCACGCACTTCGCAGGCAGTAAACAGAACTGATGTAGTTTTGATGTTTTCATAATATTGTTTTCTTGAGTCCACTTGGTAATACCTTCATTAGTGAACTTGAATTTTGGAAGTGGGTGGTCTCCGCGAACACTGGTGGTTTCTCCAAGCAACCGTGTGGTTCTGCTTCTTTTATTCCTCCACAAGTTGTTATTCTAGAGCGTCCCGAACTCTTCAATATATAGTGTGTTGTGAATTATGACTTTAATAAAAGTGGCAATGATTTTATCCTGTTTCATGTCCTGGTATCATCTTAAATTTAAGAAGGAATTTGTTGTTTTCATTTCATTCCAGCTTCCCTACTATTTAACGTAGTCTAGACCAAAACGTAATGGGTCGAATTAGTGATATAAACCCCTTTTCATATGGTCTTTGTTAGCCACCACTCATATTAAGTGTCTTCCGTTTTGCTAAAGAAAGCTTTAAGTAAAATAGAGCAGATTAAAAAGCGTGACACATGTATTTGTTTTTTTATTCATATTGGCGATACTTTTTATCGATCAGTTATCATAAATGGAGTGTTGAATGGAAGCAGGAACACGGCACGAATTGCTGATACTTTCCTCATCGCTTTAATTCCCATCAAGATTCCAGATTGGTTGAGCTTGATTTGGCAAATCTGATGAGGTCAACGGAATTGATCAAATAGGACAATTCTATACCCTAATTTTTGCTGATTTGGGAAGTCATTGATCGATTAGTGGTCTGCTGTCAAAAAGTACAAGCATTTTTCTAATGATCTGATCTGTTCCCATTGACCTCGTCCGAAATAATACCGATCGTTTCCCATAAAGGTCCCGCAGTTATCGCTTCCACCTTTTACCTTTGATTTTCCAAAGCACCAAAGGTGATTACGGGATCGTATAATCATTGCAACTTAGTAATGATAGGCAGGATAAAATCCTAAGCGGTGATTTTTAGCGATAAATTTCGATTGAATAGTTTTAGGCAACTGAATTATTGTGAAGCACTTTGCTAGTGGCCACAGATTCAATATTACTCATCGGATTATAGTTGTACCAGTCGATGAAGACAGTATCACTCGAAGATTACTGTCAGTTTCAGTTGTTTCAATATGGACATTCTAATTATGACGAAGTTCGCCTTCCAGAAAGGCCAGAAAGTTGTCTTTTTCTCTCTTCTGTGTGAATCGTTTATCACGTTGAGTTTTGTTAAATGCTTACAGGATTTTGTTAGTATTACCATTATTATTTGTGACTACACAAAGGACATTACTAAACTCCCGCAAGCATCTGACAGCACTCATCCAGGTAAACAATTTACACTGGAGATGGGTAAAAGAAATTTATTGCTTTTCTGGATGTCAGACTTCGTCGTACTGAGGTTGTCCATATTGAAACAAGAATATATTGGAAGAGCACGTGGGTAGGACAGTACACATATTTTCGTCTCACTGGGATACAAACAGAATTTAGTGAACTGTCCAGCGTACAAGGCGAAGTGAACCTGAAGTTCTGACAATGCTTCCTAACAGGGACTACAATTATTATTATTAGTAATTTTATGGTTTTTTATTTTGCCTCTACCAGTCGTGCAGGCTACACTCCAACTGAATCAATAAATGACGTTTTTTATTAAAAATTCAAACTGCAGTCAGTATGTATAAAAAATGTAAAAATGATACAGTGGAGTGGAATATCGTAAAGGAAAGAGTATGAGTTTACCGGGGAGTGGAGGAGAGCATCTTCACCTTCATTCGAATCGAACATAATACATAATGAAATAGTGCTCGAAGTTAAAACTAAAAGGAGTCTACTATATAAGACATATGTGCGAAGCATCTGCACATAAACATTTGAGAATATCCCAATTTCGCCAGGTCACCTGAGTAGGAATAAGTATCCGATGAGCATGAATCTTATTTTGATGTTAGAATGTGATTACACCGGGTCATTCTATGTTCTTACTGCCTTTCTGTTCCATGAATCATAAAAATCTCAACCCCATTCTGAATGTTTTCTCCCTCCATGTATATTGGGTGGACATACGTATACTTAAAACATATTTTACTTCTTTCAAATACCCATTTCCGCCTATTGGCGGAGCTTTGCAATTTGTGTTCAAACCTTTGATCATCAGATGCGGTGACACATTCAATGTGTTTGTCAAGGAAATCCTTTTCCATGAGGTTGCCCATTGCGATCAGTTAAAATGGAGACACTGAGGGGGGTAATGATAGGATTGAATTCTCATCCCGAGGAACTTATTTCATACTGACCCCCACCGATCACTTTGACGGGCTCTCCTTAATGGTTTCGTCGTCAGTGCGCGTACCATGTTTCAGTGTTCTTTGTCTCTCCGAAATGGCGAAATCACACAGTATCCCACTGCTTTCTGTGCACTAAGTGAACTTTAATATACACGATTAGTTTGTGTAAGCTTAATGACCTAGTTAAAAGTGGAAATATTATAAAACTCTGGAAAAATGTAATATTTCCCTATTTCATCTATGGTTCGGTTTTTAATCTTACAAATGGCGCTTTTGGCAGTACCTGAAAGGACTTCTGTGGGTAAGCCTAATATTTTGGCGAAATGCTTAAACGAAACTAATAGATTCGATGAGCGCCTCTGCTGTCTGATATGACTTTGACGTGTTTCTACCTCCAAAATAATCCTCCAAACCTCTTGAACGGTTTATTTGTTTCAGAAATTTCTAGCCAAACATGACGAAAACTTTTCTTTTTAGCCCAAGTAGGCAAAGCAAAGAAACTTCTTTCTAGTTTATCGGACCAGACAGTAGTGTAGATAGTTTGACTAATCATAAAACCACTGAATTTCACAGGATCGTGTTAGGTGAGCATACGTGTGAGTATGTAGGCGCAATTCGGTTGACAGGTTGACCACGAACTGTGAGATTAGACCAAATGAATGAATATATATATATAATCAATGAACTTTTCATTTGCGACCTTCGGAATGATTTAAAATGAGGTTCTCTCGTAAAGCATACAACGGGGATTTTATTACTATAATGCCTAGGCTACTTCAGAAATATTTCAGGTTCTATCAGATTTACAAATGAATGCCTGTGGTACAGCCCATCCAAGTCAACTATAAAATGTGAAAACTGTAAACATTCGCCAGTTTTACCAAATGATTTATTTGGTGATATGCCATATCAGATGTGCAGTTTTTTCTTTATTTCACTGAATACATATGAGTGCAAACAGAATATAACTTCTCCCGCCTATTATGTTTTGCGTATCAAGCTACCATAACGGAAGGTTTAGCTCATGGAACTGAGCTGGGTCTGTCTCCTCAACTTCTCACCCAAGCGGTCCCTAATGTATGGATATCTCCAGCGGAAAATCTGACAGTAAGTTGTCGCCATTAATTAAAAAAAATATTCTCTCTTTTGTGTTTGATCGAATGGGGTTAAGTTATGCAAAGAGAGGCATTATAATGATGTGTATAGGCAATCCCTCATGCTTCAATCACAATCCTACGTTCGTCTGGTCAACCATACACTCGGGGAGGTAATAAAACCGAGTTTCACTCTCCGCAGAGCTTTTTTTACAGTAGTATATAGCAACTGTCCCACCCGGGGGCATTTGAACTGCAGACCCGTTGCGCGGAAGGCGCGTGTGCTGCAACTGTGCCACCCAGCCAACCAACCAAG